GCAAACTCCGGTTGTGTGGTCACAAAAAAGGACTCACTTGAGCATAAATATATATATATATATATCTATACATACATAATATAGAGATGGACGGATGGACGGGATGGATGGATGGATGGATGGGAGGGAGGGAGGAAGGGATGGATGGATGCTGGGTACCTGTGTGTACTCCGAATCTCGCTCATGATCTCATATCGAAACTCAGGGTTGGTTGAAACAACAATGTCCTTACAAAGAAACAAGGCCACCGAGAGAGGTGGTGTAATTTCAACCCGAGATGGACACCTTTTCCTTGGAGATATTGAGGTCGTGCTTGGATGTCATTCATGTGTTTCTTTGCTTTGGCTTGAAGCCGGCGCGGCTCCGGTGCCACCATAATTAATGATGCCTGCCTGACAGAGCCCCCCAGCAAGAAGTGATTTGCAGAGTTCATGCTTTAAAGCGTTCATGTTCACATACTGGCAGGTGGCAGTCGGAAATATTTCCTTCACAGTCCTGGAAAGATAGGAAAACAGACACGCCAGAGACGGCAAAACGCAAGCAAACCATAGTTTGTGTTGTGGACCTAGGGCGCTTCCAGCAAAGAATTGAAGCAGACGTGCCGATGTGGGATGATGTGGGATTTGCTCGTGTGATTTGGGATAGGTGAAAACGCTTTGCCATGGGGATGATGTCGTTTCTAGCCTCGTGCCATGTGGTTTCAAGCACGTAAGGCTCGTAGATCGATCGATTCAACATGGAGAAGATCAGAGTCTGTTGGTTCCCGGCCCGAAACGTGTGACAAGCTTCTGCCGGTCCGTGGCATCAAAATACTGTGATGTGGACCGCCGTCAAGCATTTTCCCCCAAGGGGCGATGCCAATCTCTTCGAGGCGTAGCATGGAATTTCAGGAGAGAATGCACCCAACCGGACCACATGAATTCACATGTACCAGATCTGTGCGGGGCCAGGGTCCATCTTGAAGGTTTTTTGTGCCAACTATGACTGCAAGTTCGTGGACTTCCCAGTGGTACGTAAGAGAACTTCATTGGTTTGGTCTTTGAGGGTCAGGATGTTTGCTTCATGCTGGATGGAACTGATTTTCCGCCAACCTGGCAGTGCACAAACAAATTGGTCAAACTTGCAAGGGACACCGTTTGCTAGGAAACCTCCTTGGTTGCTTTCAGAAATGAATCCCAGTATATCCCAGTTGACTTGTTTCAGTTGATCAAGATGCCCACCTTATGATGATGTCAAAACCGGACAGCGCTTGATTCTCCAGGAATTCCCACTGCCTTCGCACGTCACAACAACCACTCACCCGGTCGCGGGGCCCCCCTTTTTCCTAGAGCGCGATCCGCGAGCCACGCGCTCTGCGTTCATAAATACGCGTCGCGCGACAGGACGCCCTCGTCGGAGGCTTGGCCGGTGAAGGTCCAACTCTTCCATTGTCCCAAGCACGTGCCACTGGCGATTCTCACAGCCCCTTGGAGCGGAGCAGAGGAGCGGAGGTCCCAGACGCGGCAGAAACAGCAGGACCGGGGCGTGGGGTCAGCGGTGTGCGATGTGGATGGACCGGATGAAGACGTGGCCTGGACATGGTCTCGAGACGTCATTTCCAGGATTCCAAGGACTGGGGGGAATATTTTCAAGCTCATTGCACCGTTTCAACCCAGGAGGTCTTTTGCCACCCAGGTGTCCAATCATGTTTCTGCCGTTGCGTTTTCGGTTCAGAGATGATGGCTGAAATAGACTTTTAAGGGACGATTGCAGGGTTTCATTCGCCAATTAAACTATGAGGGCCCATTAGGGTCAATTTTACGTAAATCGGCACAATTCAGAACACCAAACGTCCCATGGGACACTGAAAAAGAGGGACACTGAAAAAGAATGCCGTATGCCAGACCATTTGCCCAGCCCATCGTTCCGAGATCTTCCCCAAGGTGCCCAAGTGCGGGACCACATCGACCATCAACTGGGTCTTGCAGATGGAAGGCGCGGAATGGGCAGGAAAATTGGTGTGGCCGCCACAGGCATGGGAACAGTATTTGGACAACAGAACCATTCCCCCAAAATAGGTCACTGTGGCAGCGGCAACATATCCACATGGCACATGGGAGCGCCACTACCAAAGACACATGCTGCAAAGTTGGTTTCCTCGAACACGTCTTCCAGGTGAAAGCAATGAGGCTTAAATTCTAGGTATTCCATGGCATTCCGAATTTCAATGCAATGACTGCCCCACGACCATATTTGCAGTGTTGCTGGCATCACTTTCTGACAGCTCAAATGTCGAGCCTCTCTTCACACCGGATCAAAAGCAAACCCTGGTTACGTGGGAGGATAGGACCTTCTTTTGGAGGGGATCTATATTATAGAGAGAGAGAGACCAGCTTTGTGTTGCGAGGACAGAGCTTCGGGCTGGCAGTCTCAGTCTTCCGTCCGAGGATTGGAGCAGGTCCGGAGTATCTACCAGACAGGGAAAGCCTTCTTGCACCATGCAGGCAGGGGGCGCAGTCCTGTGACCGTCCGAGCTCCGGGTCTTTGATCCAAACCGGAGCTCTAGGACTCTAGGATGGGAGATGAGGAGCATTCCGACATTCCTGTGCCCCACCCTGCACAAGCTAAGCAGCTAAAACTTGCCAAACATAGTGATCTCTAAACTCCCAAAAGTTCTAAGCAGAAGAGCTCTAACTCCTTGATGCCTCAACTGTTCAATCTTCTCTCAGGCCCCCCACCACTGCAGCATTCCCCTCAAAAAGATTCAACTTGATCACATAGTTCCTTCGAGCAGAAACATCTCTCACCCTCTCTCTGGAAACCAAACCTCACATTGATCAAATCTTCCACCTTTCTAGCAGCCCTGCGAATCTCCGCATCCGTCGATCTCCGACCTGTTGCATTCGGTAGCTCGACGGATCCGGCGAACCGCCAAAGCGACGGATCCAAGCGACGGATCTGGCGCAGCGTTGGGCCTGCGCCGTTCGCGCAGGCCCTGGGGAGTTCTCCCAGGCGGTGAAGCGGCAGCTGGAGTTCGTGGCCTCGAAGGGGAAGATTCCGCCACTTGGGAAGAGTTCGTGACGGATTGGTTCCTGATAATTGTTGGGCGATTGGATCACTTTAGGTCTGCGACTGAATGTTTTGTTTTCTTCAGAGGGAACGTCACCAATTGGTAGATGGAGTGGAAAGGTCTCCTCTCGAGTGAGAGGGGACCTTCTTCGTGAAGATCCCCTCTGTGGCCGGAAGGGGTCATGGAAGTGAACTGGGTCGATTGGAGGCGAACCCGATTTTGAGAACGATGTCAGTTCATACCATATCAATACATATCTCTATACAGTGTATGCATATGAAGCACTCGAGCAACCATATGGTAAGTTAGGGCTGGGATATGATCCACTTTCACGGATAGATTCTGCGCAATTTGGTGCCCCAACTTTGGATATTTGCTTTAAGCAAGTGCGGTTCATTCGTGAAATGATGACATGGTCTGCAGTCCCAGAGCTTTGTAGGCTGGAGATGGACATGGGGACGCAAATCCACCTGTTTGGTCTTCATCAAGTCCCGGACTGAGTTGATTTGTTCAATCGGGCACTCTCCTTGATGGAAATCATCCGAACTCATCCGAACTTCCATTTCTTCTGTGGCCAAATTCACTGAGGGAGGAGAAACTTTTGGACAAAGACTTCGCCAGCCTACTCATGCAGCATGGCGAAGAATACCATGCTCTGGTTGGTCTCACTTGTTGATCAAGGAGGACTCGTTTTTGAACAAGAAGACGTGAACCGTGTGAACACTGTGGAATCCACGGCGGGCTCACCCATCGGATTCACCAACCACGGCGCAACCCCGTCAATCATCGTTGAGACACGACGCTGCAAGCCCCTTTACACAGAGAGACAAAAGCTTCGATGGTGCCAAGGTTGGTGTTTTGGTATTCTTGCCTGACTCATGCTTAGTAATTAGCGAATGAAGGAATGGATCAAAGAAATCTCTGTTGGGGGCTTATTCCCTCATTCCCTACTATATTTGTCTCTTACTTTTCCTCAGTCTCTTGCGGTTCTGCTTGGTGTTCTGCCCGGTTCTGCTGGTGCCTTCAGCGAAGAGCGACGTCTTTTTTTCAGAGAAGACGCGCGAAGAGCAGCGGCAGCTTGATGTTTCTTTTTGTAAATTTGGCCTGCAGTGCCCAAAAGCATAGCGGTCAAGCCGGGTAATTCCCAATTCAATAAGAAGTTTTAAAGATTTGGTTTGAACATCCAAGAAGAGCTATGGAAGACACAGAGAGACAAAGCTAAATCGTCTCAGCCCAGCATCCTCGGCAGACAAAGGGAAACAAAGGGGACAAATGGTCAGAAATCATTTTGGCCCAGGATCGTCACAGCAAAGCTGTTTGGAATGGTAGAGCATTTGTTCTGCCCCCCCCCAGCTCCTCACGTGGGAAACACCTATATACCAAGGGCCTTAGTCCTTCTCCGGAGCTCCTTGCAAGCGCTCCTAGCAAAACCTCGGTGAGTTTTATAAAGCACAGCGGCTGGACACGAGGTACAGGGCACTGCACCGCTACAAGCCGGGCTTGGCCGCATGGAGAAGTGTTTATTTTTCTTTGTGCGTTTTCATGTGGGTGAACATGGATTGAATGCGCGCTCGGGGTGTAGACTAGATTCAGATTTTCTCTGGTTGTTAGAGTCTTATCAACACTACATTCATATATTTCTGTGAAGCAGGGTGTCAATAGTCACATCATTTTGTTCAAGCTGCCGAGACGCCGTATGAGCCAAGAGACGCCGTATGCCGCCCCTTTCTCCGCGGAAGTTGCCTCGCTCCGCAGCACGACCGTCTCTTCCCTTCATCAGGAAGGCTATGATCCCTCTGTCACGGTGGAACGGGAGTTCCTGCCGCCGGCGCACCTCTGCCCGTGACTTGAAGTTTGGATGTGGATCGGTTTGGCACGGCCCAGTCACTGAGTCATAGGTAGAAGTAGGATGAGGTATATAGTGATCAATGATTCAGATGGTCTAAAGACGACTAGGGAATACTAGGAATGTCTTTTTCAAAAATGATTTGTATTGTTTTGATCTATGTTTCACATTTGTTTCACCAGGTTTTGCCGCCTTGCAGCCTTTGGGTGAAAGACCCCGCACCCCGAGAGCCACGGTGCGGGGCGAAGAAGGGATGTGTCACTACCATTCGTACAACCGTTCTCTGCGTAGCATGTTGACCAGACAACTTGGTACAGTTTGACAGGTTTTTTGCTTAAACAAGCTGCTACAGTGTGCCTTGGAGTTCAAGCATATTCATTTTGTGGTCTGAGGTTGTGTTGCCTCTATGGCCGGCAGCGACAGCACGTGGTGCTGGCCCGCAATCCGTTCGTCAGGCGAGGGCCTCGGGAGGGAGGTGGCTCCAATCGAGAGACTTCTCAGAGAAGAAGCGGGTTTTTTGAGGCCTTTGGTCCCAATGTTTTTTCAGAAGGTTTTTTTCTTTTGAATCTCTGGTCTGAGGTTTTGCCGCTCTCTTTCTACTTTGAGGCTAGAAGCTTTGCATGGCGGTTCCGGGTTCGTGCAGTGGTACACATAAATAAGGGCTGTCCGATTTCTGACCTTACCCCGCAGTTCCAGGTGTGTCCTTCCATGTTTCCGCAAGAAATCATTCGTTGTGTGGATCAATCCTCCATTTGATCCCAGACCCTTCGCCTGTTTAACACCGTAGACTGGGAACCTGAGTCTGAGTCAGGGGCTTTCCTGCGAGTAGTTCACACCCGAGTAGTTCGCAGGGGTGAGGTCGCGTTTTTTGTCAGTCCTGCCCGCCAACTGGTCGCGTCGGTCAGGCTCATGTCCTACTTCCGCTTTTCCTGGCTAAACAACGCATACTGGGGCAGCCACAAGTGGACGCCTGGAGGAAAGATGGGCATGGAATCAACGGTCGACCGCATGAAAAGATCGCCCTAGGAATTCAAGAGCGGATCACAGAGATGTGATTGACTATTGAATGGATCGGTCTAGTCTTGAATTCTTGAATTGAATGGTTCACTTTTGATTGAGATGTTCATTAATTGATTCACCCCAGCCAAGTCCGCAGAGATGTCCAGAGCCGACCCCGGCGTCGCGGCGGGGTGCTCATCACCACGGGGTTTTCCATCGACCAAAGAAACAAGAAAAGAATGGAACAACAAGAAAGTAAGGGTCCCTTGAACAAGGCCCTTTCAAGTCTTTTGTTGTTTATATATATATATACACGTTTTTCTTATGCTTTCTATGTCAATCGCCCATGACCACCCACGAGTTGAAGCTTCCTTTCTCAGGAGTCTTTGGTTTTACTCTCTGGTGCAGTGATGAAGCACATGGGGGTTCTTTTGAGACTGCGAGATAACATTGATTCGGGTGAGGTGCCATGCTGAATGCTTCACCGTTGAGTCTTTTGAAACAAGGTTAGTTGGACTGCTTTTGTCACGCCCCAAGGGTTCCAAGTCGATCACGCCCTTTTTTCACGCTTGGTTTAGGCAATCATTAGACACTTGCTAACCATCATCCACGTTGCCAGCGCAGTGCTCACCATGTTCATTTGGGGAGTTGCTGTGACCGAGTGACCGAGAAGAGAGTCCGAGAACAGGTTCCTAAAGAGTAGAGTATTTGGATGTATGTGCATTCATTTCTTTGAGGCTACTGGCAAGACCAGTGCATGAAGCGTTATACCAACAAAACAAGACAATGTCACTTTCACTTTCACTTTCAAGCGCACGGTGCCGTAAAGCGCAGCGCCTACAAGACAATGTACCAAAAAGTGCATGTTCTGTTGGTGTTTTTGTTGCGTCCCATGAGTCCGGTGGCATACTGCATACTGCAGTGGCCGTCTTCGATGGATCACCAGACGTTTTTCATTGGGGGAACCCGCTCTCTTTCACCGGTGCGCATGTTGAGGACCAGCTGGTCCGGCTTTGCTGATTATTATCAGCCCCCTGGGCGATGAACAACCGGGCGACCGCGGCCGTTTTTGTCGCGAGTTCGGAGATCGGATGAAGCCAAAGTGGGCCACTGGCATGAACTCACCTCATGAGTCTCCACACTTTTCGGGCTTCAATTTGTGGGGGACAGTTTGCAGCCATGTTAATAATTTTTTGTGCTTTTTTACTGACACCAAGCTCAAACTACTTCTGACAGGTTCGAGCCACTTTTGCATTGGACAACTGTCTCAATTCAGTGCCCCTCGTCACGCCCTCCCCTCCCTCCCCACGTCCGGGACGCCTCCCACCGCCTCGTTCGAACCGGTTCGTTCGAGAAACCGGTGAACCTCGGTTGGTCCTCGCACCGCGGAACCTTCGAGCCGCGTTCCGATCTCGCGGACGGCTGCGGCGGAGAACGCGTGTCGGCGTTCTCCATCAGGTTTGTGTTGCGGGTCCGCGATTCCAAGCCAGGGCTGTTTGCGAATGGTGGGGAGACCTAGCAGGCTAGGGGTGGAGTGTGATCGATGGGCTTCTTGAGGATGGTTTGGAGTGGTGGTTTGGAGAAGATATGTGATTTTGAGAGAAGGATTCGATGATTTGATGTGAACTTCAAGAGCTTTTGATGTGTTCACAATTCACACGTCCATGGGATTTTTGGGTGCATCAGGGAAGGGCCTTGGAAGGAATTCCTGACCTACTGCTTCCCAGCATCCTTATGGTCAATTCGTTTTGGGAGGGTACAGACTGTGCTTCTACATCGCAGGACCCTTCCATTTGGCTGACAATTTTGTTAGGCCACCAAACACTGAGGTCAAGAGCATCCCATCCCAAGGGAGTTTGATTCTGCAGATAGACTCAGCAGTGTTGTGTGAGTTTCGCATTTGGAGGTTTGACGAAACGTGCTATGTACATAGAAGCCGTACCAGCATGCTTTTGGCTTCCCACCCAGCATGACAGGGACTCCCGACTCCCACTTGCAGATGTTTCAACTTTTTGCCGAGGTTCAATGCATCTTCATTGCACGGCGGTACCTAGAAGAAATTGGTTTGGCGCTGAAAGTATTAATTAGTGAGTTGAGAGTATATATATATATAAGATTGCACAAATCCAAAGAACTCTGAGAGCGCTTTTGACCAAAGCCCAATCTACTAGTAGAGTGGAATATGGGTTTGTACAATCGACTCTGAAACTGCACATTCCTGGGTTTGGACAATTCGTTACCTGGAATGGTTCTCCCAAGTGACGGCATCGTTTTTGAGGGATTCCTTTAAACGTGTCTTCACCAACCAGATTCCATGTTTTCAACCATTTTCCTTTTTTGGACCTCCAGCAGCAGCCTGAGGCTTGGACTGGGTTGGGCGCTCAGACCATTAAAACACCGCGACAACATACTGTACATGAATTATGAACTGGTCACTTCAGGGTATATAGTCGGTAAAAATAACTAACAACAAGTACATATATACTGTATACTGATTATTTAGATATATATATATATGTATGTTCAATATGTATACGGTGTGTATGTATATATATATATTTATTTATAACCCCTCATGGTAAAGTCTCTCTCTCTATATATATAGTGGTCCTTGGAAACCATTCTCCCATTTTGGCTTCGACATGGAGGATCTTTGCTCAAAAGGCCAAGCTAGTCATCCATCGGAATCCCGCTTGGTACTAAACATGTAACTAGATCAACATCGATCAACATGATCCAATTCCCAAGTTTCAATAGTTCCCAATTGGTCTCTTAAGGTCGCGCGTATTCGCGGTGCAATCCACTTAGAGTGGAATGGGTCGTGGTCCATGCGGTGCGTGGTCCACCAACAATCCTCTCGGAATCGACGGATCGAGGTCCAGGAGTCGCACAACTTCTGCAAGCAGGCGACACACCGGCGACTCGGTCGGCGAGCGAACCGCACCGGGACACCGGTGATTCGGCAAACGCCTGCCTGGCGAACACTGGCGAAGCAGTGAGTTGGGTGGTGTTATTGTAAAGAAACAAATCGTTCGATTTGTTCTCCCATCATTATTCAAAGCTGAAAGTGGTTTTGATTTGACTACAGTGACTACTGCATTTGGTTGTAGGTGATGTGTGATGACAGTCCGTTCCGCTCCATCTCGGTCGAGTTGTTGCGTTCTGTTCGTGTCGGGCCGATCACTGCGTGGGTCCCCGAGCTGAAGCTCGTTGAGAAGACGTTGTTCTGAACAAGGACTCCCGGTGAGGATCTGGAGGATCCGGTAAGGATCTGGTGGACGTGTTGAGAACTGGATGCTTTTTTGGAGTTCTGAACTTGGACTGACATATCATTTGACACTATTGGTTGTTTCTAGGATTGTTGGCCACCAGTAAACGTTCTGAGTATTTCTTGGAGGCAAGCCAATCAGATTTGCTTGGCTTGGATGTCCCGCACAGGCATAGACTTCAGGAAGAGACCAAAATTTGAATCCTTTTCAAGGACTACAGTAAATCTTGTTCAGAACTAGACTCTGCAAGCGCTCGCCGCTCAGCCCGAACTTGCAGAACGCGTGCACCAAGATGATGTCCAATGTCCACATCTTTTGGGTGAGAAAACAGTCGGACACATGAGCAGTCCGCGCCTGGCACACCAAGTGATTGTGGAACATCTTCCGTCAGGCCGACCTAAGTCGGGTGCCTGGTACAGCACTACATCCCTGGATTTGCCGCTGGACGAAGGACACGGGGGATGGGACGGCAAATTGGACGAAGTGCCTTTTTCTTTGGGGCGGAAGGTGCAGGGAGGAGGTCGGCAGGGAAGAGGTCGTAGGGAACAGCCAACCGTGGCTGCATTGAAACGAACATCAAGCACGCTTCAGATGGGCCCACACAAATCCACCCTGGCGCGATTTCGACCAGCAGGGTGTCCTCTCCGGAATCGGATGGTCCCACCATGTCCGCTAATGGGTGTCGTGTATTGTAACAGGGAGACACCCTGGTTTCCATGGGTGAAGCTTTTCGTCCATCTCCCTAGTTCACCTTCATCTCGATCCACGCGTCCACGCTGGCTCAGACGCGACTGAGGTCGGACGACCTACTACACCCTTTCGGCCTACGATGTCTTCCATCTCCGTCCAGTGAGTGTGCCCTGAGGGAGATGGGTGGAGGTCGATGATGTTTGGAAAGTCGACTGGGAATCACATTGAATAGGATACAAGGAAAGAACCTCGACTGGGTCAGAACCTGTATATAATGTATATATAGCTAAAAGAACAACTGTCATTAAGACGTCTGAAGATCACCTGGTAGCTGTATGAATTGGTTTGATTTGATGTGAATGTGACACTCTGTTTGACCGTGCAAGCGCGTTCAGGACATGGTGAAGGATGAACGCTTCTTGGCAGGTCCTGCGGTGATGGAGGACGTTCTTGCTCCTCGGCCACCATTTCTGCTCTCCCGGAGTTTCTCGTGACGCCTAAGCCGTCGATCGCCTCTCAGTAGGACCATCCCACGGCTTGGATTCCGTCACTGGCTAAAGAAGTCACGTCAAGGGGTGAAGGCAATGGCTGCCAGATGGATGCGCACGAACAAAGCTATCGATGGGATTTCGGAAGCGATTCAGTCTAGTTTCGGGTGTCCAGAGGAATTGGTGGGCGTGCTATTCTGGAGATGTTGATTCATGTTTGAAGCATGCGGTAGACCCGACCCAATTTTCCTACTATCCGTTCAATTACAATGCGATAAAGGACCGATTGGAAGTGATCATGATGTGGCAAAATGGAAGCCATGCACCCAATCGACACAGAAAGCCGCATCTCTAGTCTAGTCAGTCAGTGTTCCACAGACATCCGCCTGCACTAGGTGCTACACTTGGAGACACTTCAAGAGGACATCCTTACGCTTGAGGACTCCTTGTGCCGGAGGTGGAGCCGGGTATCGGGTGTCAAGGATACGCTGTAGGCGGAAGAGGAAGCGAGGCGGAAGAGGGTTGATGGGGCAAGGACCAAGTTCTTAGACCATTTTACACCCCAAACTCATGGGCAAGCTGATGATGGACCCTTAAGATCACAGTTTTCAGCCACAAACCCTCGGTTTGTGGATTTGGATTTTCATGAGATTCCCTGAAAACGGGCGGATGCAAACTTTGGCAGACACACACCATCAACTCTGATCTTGCCTGATGTGCTGAGCCACGCGGACTCTTGAGAAAAAGACGCGTAGCGAGATCTTGTAGTGATCCTGGTTGACAAAAGACCACAAACAACATCTAATTGAAGATCCAGCGTTGACAAAGTCGGTCCTGGTGGACTTTGCTGGTCCAGTTTCTCGTGACCAACAGCACTTCGCATGGTGCTCACGCGAATCACGCTCACTTCGGTGACAACCCGTGGCGCGTCACCCGTTGCTGAGTGGCAGGCTCTCCTTCTGCGAGAAGCTGCCGCCCTTCCCATCGGTGCTGCCAGGGAAGAACATCCGCGACAGCGCGGTAGATGCTTGGAGCGATCAGCGGTGACGTTTGGCTTTTTGCGGACGTCGAACTGACCAGCAACGACAGAGGAATGCAACTCATGTAGGTTGATGTGTCTTGTGTCTTAATTAGGTGGGTTGGATCAAGTGAGCATTTCAACCCAAACCAAATCTTTGATCCACAGGGTAAGGTCCATTGTCACGACAGTGCGGAATGATTCATAGCACACCCCGCGGGACCCCCAGAGCACCAGGAGGTACCCGCGGGGAGGTTCGCGCGGAAAAACTGATCTTCCGGATCCATGAGCTTCCCCAAATCACTGTTTCTAACAGGAGAAGTGACAATCAACTCACTTGCCGTGGGTAGCTTAGCCACTGCCTGTTGCACTCAGCATTTTGGGATGTGTGTGATGTGTGTGCTTGAAGACAGCTCACCCAGGAAGGCAACACAAAGGAGCACTGCGGCTTCAAGGAGGCAACCATGAGCTGGCGAAACTGCTCGGCTCCTCCCTGGCTTGAGCTCCTCGGCTCCACCTCCGAGTGTTGATTGGCCGACCTGGCCGGTGGAAGACTAGTGCGCAGTGGGAGCGATGGTGTTGAATGAAGCAGTGAAGTGGAAGATCGTCTCCTCAAAAAACGGCCCCTATGCCCTCTGGGGGGCCCGGTTTCTTCACCAGATGATAGGCTTAGCAACACGGAATTCTCATGGATGTTCAAGGATCCATTTTTCGAGATGACTTGAAGCATTTCATGGAATTCTAGAGAACACACTACTATAGTGGAGATCCACAGAAGGTGAAAAGATTTGCAAAGAGTCTTTGTTCCTAGTAGCTTCTTGTTCCTAGTAGTACGGCCAGGAGCCCCTAGTAGCGTCCTTGCTCCTAGTAGCGATGCCAGGAGCCCCTGTAGCGTCTTTGCTCCTACGGGTCATGGGAGAAGTCTCACAGATGATGTTGTGCGTTCATTCGATTCATCGGTATGATGGACACCTTCGTCCTGGAGAACAGCCGTTTCAGAGGCCGTGAGAGGCACATCTGTCCAAGGCCCGAAGCTAGATGTCCAAGGCCGAAAAGGGTTGATCTGTGAAAATCAGAGACGACCATTCCTTGATGAGAAGCCACATCTGTAGAAGGATTGAGGCAACTTGATGGTTTGAGGAACCTAGTCAATCGTCAACGCTATATAGAAAAGTATATATATATATATATCCGTGGATATCTCTCTGATCTATGCAACCCGATTCTTGGAATGCTCTTGGTGTCCGCCGCCCGACCGTGTCAGGTTGTGGGAGGCGCCGTTGACCGCGATGGTGGTGCGGCACTATCGTGAGGACTTCCATTGGCTAGGCTATTCCACGAACCCAGCTGAGCTCCTACCGAAAAGACCGACATGCGAACGACGTGCAGTGTTTGCAGCATTGGGACACCACGAGGAAGGGGGGACCCCTGGCAGGTGGGACATGGGGAAGCTTGCTCTTGTGTTGACCCCTGGCAGGTGATGTTGAAGCAGTATAGGCCTTGGAAGACATGCGTTTGGGTAAGGACGCGCCAATGGTCTTTCTTTGTCTGGTGGAAGTCTAGTATTTGATGAGTAGTTAGGACTTTGAGTGGATCCCATACGATGTCTGACACAAACTGTTCTATAGACCCATTCAACTGCAAAGGGGACCATGATGAATGAAGGTGTTTTGACATGTTGTGCTCATTTCTCCCTCAGCCCGGCAAGGTGGCAGAGCCACAAGAGGCCTTGAAATACCTCCGGCAGATGCAGCAGCAGTCCATGAGGCAGCCTTCGGGAACATCGGTGCGACATGAGATTGGACAAACTACGGATTCAAAAGTGAGACCGTATGACGCCTGCAAGATGAACACTTGAGCAACCACCCACAGTTGTGACATGTTGTGACAGTGACAGTGCAACAGACTCGTGGTCTGGATCAATATGTTTGAAGTGTTGACAGTTGCTCGGATGGTCGTGGAAATAGCTACCTTCCGATTGGATGTCGGAGAAGAGCCTTGCGAATCCGTCGATTCCGCCACACAAGGTCGTCGTGCGAATCTCCGTCGCGCGGACCTCAGGCCCAACATTTTGGCCTGGACCTCATTGCTGGGGGCCTGTGCGGCCAACGGAACGCAGGAGGCACGGCAGATCTGTGGGGCAGACGCGTTTTTTTGCACCAGCATTGGAGGGAATCCAGCAAAGGAAATAGGAGCAATGAGAAGGAGGAGAGATGATAGATGGCATGATGTGAGGAGATGACAGAGTGGATGTTAGAGAAGGAATGAGAGATGACAGATGATAGGGGAATTTGATCTGAGATCGCACATATTGTGAAAGAGGAGGGGCAGGAGATGAGGGATCAGAAGTGAAAGATGACACGAGCGATGAGTCGATGAGAGAAGATAATGAAGAGTATCAGAGATGAGAATCATTGAGGCATGCGGCATGTATCGTTTTTCAGCGTTTTTCAGCGTTCAGACCGTTCGACTCGCCAGAACTGGTCTCAAACTCACTGGAGCTTCGAAGGCCTTGGCTTTGGCCAAGAAAAGCCTCCGAGAGATGCGAGCTGCCAGGTGGGATGACGCAGCTGGGAACCGCTTCATGCCTCTTATTCGTTGGTGTTTTTGGGTTGGTCATGTGCCAAGTGTGTGATAACATGTACAGAAGAATAGACCAGACTAGATAGATCACGATAAACCGAAATTCAATTCTTTCATGAACGGGTCACCGTTTCAGCAGATGTGCGACATTCTGCGACCCCGTTCTCCGACCTTTTGCTGCCCATGCTACATGGGGTCGCTTTGCTTGGACTTAGCACCACAGTGCCATTTGTGCAGGTGGAAGGTTGTCGGCGTAAAATGGTGTAAAGAAGCCGAGGTGTTTTGCAGTGCGGTTTGTTCGTCATGTTGAGAGTATTACCTCGCAAGAGACTGGACCTAACCATGACTCCGACTGCAATGGCAGCTTCAAGCACGTACTGACATCAGATCATCAATCCTTCAACATTTGGAACCGTTGACATCACGGTGCCACAAGTGGCCGTAGGGTGCAGCCCAACGAATACACCTTCAAGGCAGTCGAGAAGATGCTGGGTGCCCGAAGGAGAAGTGGACGATGGTGAAGCAATTGACATGAGATGACAGGCTGTTGGCGCACTTGCGCTGGCTTTGACATGTTTTTCTTGGGAACATGACCATCTTTTTCCACCCGATTTCGGTTTATTGGAAGGGGAACTCATACAGCAGAGCTGCTTGCATGCAACCGGGCTCCGGGCAACCCCGAAGGGCAATGGATCAGACATGATCAGATTCCATAAAGATCATGCGTACAGGTTAAATGCCCATCGCCTTGCTGCTCAAGGGAAAGCTGGAACACAAGCTGATGTAATATGATGATCATATACGCAGGTTGATCAGTTGTTGTGGCATTTGGCGGCAGGACAACCTTCAGCCTTTCCTACGTCACAACCGGCAAGTCGAGTGTCTAGACCACTCCAACCTTCCCCCAACCCACTCTGCGCCATTGTTTTCCGGCTCTTTCGGTGAACAGACGTTCCTGGAGTGCCGGATTGGATGTGAACCTCCACTGAACAAGCCAGGCCAGCTTTGCATTTGGATTCACCAACAACAAGAAGCGCGATCGGACGAAACCGAACGTAGCTCCTGGCCGTACTATAGGAGCGATCGCATGCTACTAGGATCTAGGAAGGTTCAACCGCCGCTCGACCCGTTCAGTGCCCAGGTTCGGCCCCGCCACGGCCACAGCGCTCTTGGGCTCTCGTCTCGCAGAGGTGAAGTCGTCGGGGGTGGAACGTGGAGCTTTTTTTGTGGTACAATCAGTTGTTGGTATGTTTATTTTGAGGGGGAACCCACGTGTGTTTCTGAACAATGAACCTTGGTTTAGCTGAACCGTGTGCTCCCATCGATAACTGTCGATGATGACACCGTTTGTTGCACAAGTCAAGCAACACAGTACCTGCCCATGCAGGTGACATAAGATATACGTATGTAGGTATTATGTAATATATATATACACATAATTTGCCAATGTTCCTATGACTTCTGATGGAAAGGCATGCCCTGCCAGATCACATGGAAGACAGGTCACTGGCAAGATGTTCCCATTCTTCAAAAATGCTTTACCAAGCACACTTCGAGGAGTTGTGTGGAGAAGGCGAGGCACTTATGAATTAGGCATTGAAGTTAGTATCTTCAGTGCCGGGAGCCATGCGGAATTCTTCTAGTTGCGACGTTCATGTATCTCAAATCGTACACTTGACAAAACCCTTGAGGTTTTGGATCCTTCAACCAAAGCGCCACCGGCACGGACCCTGCGAAAACGGTCGCAAGACGGTCCTTTTTCGCTTTGGCACGACGTCCCAGGTGCAGCCTCGCATCAAGCGACGCCGGAGCAAACCGAGGCGACCGATGGGTCGATGGTCCGTCCTCTGTGGCGACGTGGAAATAGTGCGAGCGCTTCTTCAAGGAAGCTTTGCTTGAAGAAGCGTGAGAGGACGCTAGTAGTTTACTTAAGCTACTAGCCGAGCGGGCTAAAAGTAAAAGAACCGCGTGATAGGGGGGGCGACGGTCTTGCCTTCGGATTGTCTCCGATTGGTGCGAAAGTCGGGTGCGAGTGTGGATGGCGTTTTCACGCGACGCACCCGAGATGCTTTGGGTGCTGGGATTGAGGTGGTCCGTTGGCGTTTTTTCCTCCAACAGTTTTGACCACTTGAGATGGGGCCCGGCTTGGTCCCGTGGAAGGGATTTGTTCGATTTGTTCCATCGTTCCATCATATTGTTGTAGAAAACCGAAGCCCGATCTTCCTTTTGGGGAATTCCATCTGGCTGATGCCATTGGCAAGTCCATGAGGCGGTTCAGGCTCACACCAACATGGATGAACATGTCATTGAGATCCTGACAGTTGAAGCGTGTAGAAAGTGAAACACCATTTGGGTTGCCCAACATCTTTGGTTGGACGACAGTGGATGGATCAAATATGATGAAGTCGATTTGTTTTGACTTTGAATCTGCATAACGTGCCTGTGAATGTTTTGCTGTCTGGGTGTATTGGTGACTGCTACAGTGGTGTGCGATTCAGATCATGCGTCTGGGGGTTTAATCATGGCGGGCCCAAGTTGGTTGGGTCTTAGATTAAATTATATTGGTTTGCCACAACGGGGAATGCCGCAATCCTCTATTCCTCTATCCCCAAAATTCTGACATCATACGTCCAAACAGGGTCATCACAAAAGCCACCTAAGATCATGTCCAATCTGGCGTCACCTCGAGGAAGCCTTGCCAGTAAGCCACAACACATTCACAAACTTTACTTTTTTGGGAGGATATCTCTGAAAAAAGGATCCGTTTGCAATTCCATTGTTGTTTTTTTTGCTTTTCTCTTGGTTCCTTCCTCCCTTTTTGTTGAAGGATGGCGCCAGGGCACCGTGGGTTTGGTTTCACTTCGCGCCAGGGCACCGTGGCCGCTGGCGGTCGGAAGGCCCAGAGGTTTGGACCGTGGCCGCTGGCGGCACAGCAGCGGCAGCAGTCACAAGGGTCACAAGGCCTGCCCCTTGAAGATCCCAGCGAAAAGGACCTCGAGAGGCTTTTGTAATCTTAATCAGCCATTCACAAAACGAGCCATCAATCAGACTGAGCTTGCTGTGGATTGTGTTTGTTCCCCACCTGCCAGGTGAGGGTTGTTAGATTTTTTCACAGTTGTTCTTCCTCCTTCCTTCCTTCCTTCCTTCCTTCCTTCCTTCCTTCCTTCCTTCCTCCTTGCTTCCTTCCTCGCCAATCTTCATCGCCTCGCCAACCTTCATCGCCAATCTTCTTCGCCAATCTTCATCGCCAATCTTCTTCGCCAATCTGCTTCGCCAATCTGCTTCGCCGATCTTGTCTGGCAAGCTCCGGATCGCAGTGTGCACCCCTGGACCTGAACCGCAAGGATCCGATCGCAGTGTGCACCCCTGGACCTCAACCGCAAGGATCCGATCGCAGTGTGCACCCCTGGACCTCAACCGCAAGGATCCGCTCGCACTCCGATCGCAGTGTGCATCCCTGAACCTCAGCCGCAAGGATCCGATCGCAGTGTGCACCCCTGTGCACCGCTGGACCTCAACCAGATAGTTTGCCAGATAAAATGCCACATAGAATGCCAGGTAGATTGCCAGATAGAATGCTGCAAGAAGATATGCCAGATAGTATGCCAAATAGTGTGTCAGATAGATTGCTAGATACATTGCCAGATAGAATGCCAGAAAATATGCCAGATAGAATGCCAGAAGATATGCCAGATAGAATGACAGATAGTATGCCAGACAAAATGCCAGAAGA